CAAATTTGAGCTAGAATCCTATGTAACTAGAGGTTAAAAAAGAAAAAAAAGCACTAAAGAGTCTAACAATTGGAAATAGCTTCCAAATATTGGGGTGATAAGTTAAAGGAAGCAGCATTCTTACAATGTTCCAGACTCGAAGAATGAGAAAGGCAAGGATGAGTTTAGAGAATAATTTTTTTGATTAAGTATTATATTCCAGTGCATTCTATTTGAATATATTCAGAATTAACTTTAAAGACAATTTTCTCTGAACACAGCATACTTAACAAGTGATCTGTAAATCGTTCATATAAGAACCCCATTTGAGCTTACCAGAATCTGTCCATATTTTGATGATAAAAACAAAAAACACAACCCCATCCTGCCTGCCGAACTGCCCTGCCCAGTTATCTAATAACTGTACTAGGTAACTGTGTCTTTTCCAGGCTGATAGTCAATAAGTGTGGAACAATATGCCCACCAAAACTCATCTTGTGTTCTATGGCTCTGCAGTCACCAGAACCCAGACAAAAGAAGTAACCACCACCATTACTCACTTACAGTTCCGGTTTTACATTTAGATAAAAAAAAAAAAAAAAAAAAAGTATCTATGGTCCAGATAGAGTAATTTCTCAATTACTACCTAAAGTCATCCATTGTTTCTTGTATCATGTTCTGAATGAAACGGATTTGAACAGATGTCAATGGTGCATTTGGCCGACTATTTCCAATGGTATCAACTATTTTTTCTGAGAGTGAACTGGCAACTCCAGCAGTGACAGAGGATGCTATCTTTGGATCTAAAATATAGAATGAAAAAAAATATTAATAGACACCTTGGACTAAGAGATATCAAACATTTCTAAATAAGATTTGGCACGAGAGAACTTGAAAAACCAATGGAGAACAGTGTTTCTGTGACATTTAGAAAAATACATTGTCTTGAATACAAATCTAAGAAACTTTCTATGACATTATTTCTAATAGTCATTTATCTATCTATCTATATATATAAACTGCCAACTGTCTAATGTAATAATGTATGACAGAGGGACTAATCTTGAAGAATCTCCATACCATTTCTTCTTATAAAAGATGAATGTGACAAGCTGTACCACAAACTAGATAAACCAAGGCTATTAAAAACAAACAGAAGAAATACAGGAGTAAAGGAGTGGTACAGACAAAGCCCTAGAGTTTAAACTTACACAATATATCCACCTTAAGGAAACCTTAAGGAAAAATACAGATATCTAAATAAGACTTGGTTCTTCACAGAGTTGCTTTCTACAAATAACTCTTACAGCTGAACCTAATATTCCTTAAATGTGATCAAGTTTTCACAGGTCTGTGGCATAAACTCTAAGGTTAAGACAAGATATAACTTTACGAAGAAAAACAGACTTCTAATTTTGGATAGTTAACCATCCTTTTTCAATTCTATCTATATCAAATTAAATCAAGACACATAAGATTGAAAACAAAGTTTGCACCAAAAAAGGATCAGTCAGTCTCAGAGTCACACTGGAAAACTGTCTATAAACATTAAACTCCTTAAACATTTCTGGTCTATGATCATTCTATTTTTTTTAAGTTAAAAAAATTGGAAGACTTTTCAACTTAACCCTTGCAAACATCAGAAACTTTTACACACTTACTTGGAGTTGAGGATCCACTGACTGGAGGCTCATGTATCAGCTGGTTTTCAATTTCTTTCTCTGGCTTTTCAAATTTTTCAGGATTTCTTGTTAGGTTAGATGATGGAGAGGCATTTAGATTTCCAGTTTCAGTACCAGGTGTGGTGAACTTTGCAAGCTTTACATTTAAAATAAACAATTACTTTAATATGTAATTTCTTGTTTTAGTCATAAAACGTTTATCTACTGTTCTTTTTTTTCCCAGTAGTTAGAGTCAAAAAAATAAGGGAAAAATAGGAAGGGATATAGAAGAAGAAAAAAGTAAAGGGGTAAAGAAGAAGAAAAAAAAATACTAGGAATTTGTTGAGCATCATTTAAAATGGAAATCGTTGTCAAAAATTAAAAATCTCTATATGATATATCCAAATGTGAAAAATATTTGGATATGTCAGATAGTCAGAAATATTTCACAAAATAAATCAAAAGGTACTTTTATAATTCTTGCATATATCTTTCAATATAATTCTTAAAAAGTAAATATTAAAACAAATACAGACATAGTACACATCTAACCGACTTGGCCTTCCTGACAATATCTGATTATTCTGAATGCTTACTTAAGAAATTAAATTCTCTACTGGATACTGAATTTTAGCAGAAAGTAATAACGATGATTTCTATTCTCAGCACCACCGATTTGCTCTGAGACTTAAATCACTTGACTATCAACTTTGTGGTTTTTTTCCTATAATGAAAATACACTTTAAGAGAATTCAGGTGTAAATTGTTCTTAGACAGACAGATAAAATATCTCATCTTAAAAAAAGTAGTTCATAAGTTTATAAGTTTACAACTGCTGTTACCAACAACATACCCAAAGACAAATTTCAAAAGTATTCCTTAGTTATTGAGAAGCAGCACTAAGATTTAAGACTACTTTCTACCTAGAAAGTATGCGGCACCATTGGTAATTAGAATATGTCCCCTGGCAGCAGCCCACTTCCAGCAAATGATATACACAGTAAACTCAGTATCATTTTCAGGCAGATACCTGTTTGAGGGAATCTTTTGGCTCCTGTTTTCCCAGATATATTTTTTTAGACTCAGCTGTCAGATCATGATTTTCATTTTCTTCTTTCCCTGGTGATCCCAGAAAGACATTAAGAGGACTAGAATGCAATACTGGAGTGCTTGAGGTTACTGGATTTTTTCTTGGAGGAAACACTGAGTTCAACTGTGGTAGAAAGTCAAGGCCTGAAAAAGGGAAAAAACTGCATTTGCATTTGATGTTCCCTAGCCGTGGATATTTAATTAAAACACTTAACATAACAGGCAGGTTCACACTGGAAAAATCATGGGATTTGGACTGAAAGGACTATTTCCTTTCTCAGCTATATGCCTCACTTAAGATATATTCTTAGACAAAAATGTTAAAACTCTATTTCTGCATCAGTTCATGTGGATGATGATAACCATCTCCCTGAGCAGTGAGGCTTAGAAAGATATCTTATGTAAAAATACTTTGAAAACTGTGAACCACAATGAATCTTTTAGTCAATATTAGTTTTTGATAACTGAAGATTGTTAATTTGGTGTGTATCTGTGATATCTTGGCCTGCCTCTGGGATGATTCCTGAGGATTCTGCCGACTGGCATCCAAAACCCTGTAGAACTCTCTCCCTTTGAAAGTGGGTTGACTTGAGTAACTCATTCTAACAGAGAATATGGCCCAAGTGCTAGGGTGTCCCTCCCAAGATTAAATTACAGACATTCTGTAGTACCCATCTTGGAAGTCATCTTACCCACCCACCCCCACCCCCGCCCAAGGGAAGCTGGCTGCCATGTTGTCAGCAGCCCTATGGAGAGGGTCAGGAGAGGGTCAACTGGCAACTGCCATGCGAATATGCTTGGAAGCAGATCCCTGCCCAGTCAAGGCCTGAGCTGAATGAGCTCTGGTTGCTACTCTGAAATATCACAAGAGACCTGAAGCTAAAAGTACTCACAATCAAGCCATGCTTGGACTCTTCATTCAAAGAAAGCATGAAATGATACATGTTTGCTCTTCAAACTTTCTAAGTGTTGGAGTACAGTAGTTCCCAGCAGATATGTGCTAAGGTCCTACCCGAGTGGGAGCCTGAAACCACATACCGTACTGAACCCCAAATGTAAGAGGTCTTCAAAAAGTTCACGAAAATGAGTATTGTAAAAAAGCTATGCATGGATTTCAAAAACTTTTTTTGCACCAAAATAAACCAGTACTGTAATTCCATGCTTCTAGGGAACTTTTTGAAGTCTCCACATATGCTATGTATGTTTTTATTTTTTTGTTTTTAATCTAATTATCAAGACAGCAATCAGCTAATAGGCAGATAGCATATACACCGTGGATATGCTAGATAAAGGCATGATTCACGTGCCAGGTGGGATGGCAGAGGAGTTCATCATACTACTCAGAATAAGCACACCTGAAAACTTACAAACTCCTTATTTCTGGTATAAGTCCCATCTACTATTTTTTTGGATCACAATTGACTGCAGAAAACTGAATATGCAGAAAGCAAAACCATGTATGGGGGGGGCTATTGTAATACTGCTACACAGCAATACAAAGCATAGTATCACTTTCAATTTTCATGAAAATACTCCTAAGAAAGTCTTACCATCTCCTTTGCCTATGGACTCATCACCTCCCTTGTTAACTAGAGCATCTGTAATAAAATTAGAACATAATATTTCAAAAACAGCGAAAAAGAGGCCATACCAACTTAGGCTTCCTGATCATTCCCCAAGGAGTTCAAAGATAAATGATCTTTAAAAGCAAAATATAACCGAGGTTAATAGTTAAAGTCTGTATGCACTTGGGAACCAGCAGTTAGCGTAATGACTATGTCGCTGGACTCCCACGTAGTCGACCGTGGTTCGTGACCCGGACCCGGTGGCTTAAAACTCACACCAGGCATGCCCAGGATCCTGAGAGGAGAATGGAGGAGAAGGGATTGTGGCGTGACCATGCCCCCTGGGGGGTGATTTCTCGCTTTCTGTCTCTATGTGTCTCTCTGTCTGTCTGGTGAGCGCACGCGCCCTATAGCGAAAATCTCTCCAAAAAAAAATAAAAGTCTGTATGCACTTAACACTTTACTTATAAATTTTTAGTTTCATGCATAGAAACAAATAAAATAGGTAATTCTATGGTACAAAGTTATTTAATGAGGTGTCAAGGAATAGTAGAACGGGCCCTGGAATAGCTTCTGGAGATATGTAATCCAGTTCTGCCTATACCTATACTAGTCATTAGCTTTGTGACCTTGGACAAACTTCTAATATAATTAAGCTTCAGTTTATGCATCTATAAAATGGGAACAATGCTCTGATAATCCTGTAAGATTATTTTGAGGATCCATTAAAATAGCATAAAAATATTTTATAAGCAGTACAATATTATAAAAGTCTTTATTAATATTTATTTCAACAGCAGAATATGAGTAAGACTATTTCAATACTATAATATTAACTCATTTACCAATTCAGAAAACAAAATTGTTTATCTCAATTTTTTTTTTTTTTTTAAGTTTTTGTCATAGGGTACATGCACTTGCCAGAGACAGACAGAAAGGGAAAGTGAGAAATCAAGTCCCAGAGGGGATGGTCACGCTGTAACCCCTTCTCCTCTATTCTCCTCTTGGGGTCCTACTCATATATGCACATGCACCCGAGTTGACTTTCAAGCTGCAGGATCTAGGACTAGAACTGCAGTCGGCCTTGTGGGAATCTAGTACCTTAACTACTAACCCAATTTTAACAGAGTAGTAGTATCATAGTAGAAGAAATATCATCTATCATGTTTATACATATAGTAATTACACAAAACATGCACATACACACGTATACATGCACTTAGAATTTACCCTCTCTTGATAAAAGCAGAAATATTTAAAATATTTAAAAAATGAAGAAATTGAGGCCCAAATTAAGTCTTTTACTTAAACAGAGTTGAATGCTTGACAATGAAAACAGCACATTTACTAAAAGTGTTTTTTTCTTATTAATAATATGAAACCCTAATGAACAGCAAACACATGGCTAAAATTCTAATCACACTTTAAAAACAACAAGCACATGGCTAAAATTCTAATCACACTTTAAAAACAGCAAATGCAATTAAAGAAAAAGCAATTTAGTCATATCTCTTAAAAACTATTAGAGTGGATATAATTTATAACTCAAATACTTTCAAAAGGCCCCTTCCTACATTATTCAATGCAAAAGTTGCTCCAAAGAGCTCATAAGCCAAAGTTGCCTAACTCAGTAGTAAACCCAGCAATCTTTCTCAACTTCAGTCCTAGCTATTCTCCTCGTCTTTGTCCACATCTTCCCTTTTAGCCTTTAACTATGCTGTTTTACTTCTCTTCATCCTAAAAGAAAAAAAAATCCACCTATCTCATTAGGTGGAAGACAGGACAGTTTGACCTGGCGGTTCAAATACTCATTCCAAGGCAGGATAAGACAGAAGATATTGGATACTTCTGCATGATCATATGGGTATGTATTCCTTTTTGATAATAAAAGTAATTAGACAATTTGGAAAAGACACAATTTTAAAGTAAATATATGAAACGACATGAGATCATGAGTACAAGAAACAATTTTAACATCCTGCCATTGTTGACACTCTAGTTTTTCACTTTTATAAATAAAACAGTAACCACACAAATCTTTGTGGGCTTCTCTGAATATTTTCTGAGATAAGTTTACAGAACTGAAATTACTAAACCAAACTGTGTATTTTAGTACTGTCAAATTACACTCTAGAAATGTATCCATATTGTTGAAAATATTGATATTAGCAATGAGACGATCCCATTAAGTAAAACAGTATGAACATCAGTACCAAAAGCATAGCTAAATAATGTACATATTTTGCATACTATCAACAATGAAGTAAAGTATTTCCATTTATCAAAACTGGCAGATTTTTCTATGGTAGCATCAACACTTTAGGGGGTGGTAGTGTATGTGTAACCAAATACACACACACAACTTCATATATATGTGGTACTTACATACATAGTTAATGTAAAACATGAGGCAACCTGTCACCTAGACATATTTGTGCATGAAATATTTAATAAATACCAATTAAATGGTAATAAATTTTTTTTACATTATGGGCTTTTTTTTTGCTATCAATAAAGTCAAGGTTTTAGGAAGATTTATTAAGAAGTAGATATAACTAAAAGATTGCCTATGAAGGTAAAACTTCTTCAAGAAACTTTTTTTGGACATTAAACTAACTTGAGAGCTATTTACATAGTTCCATTTGAAACTTATCAACGCACAGGTCTGGATGGCATCTGAATTATCCAGGGACTGAAAAAATTAGCAAACTGCCATGAATAAAGTTGGACCGAAACTATTACTGATATCTTTTTTTTTTTTTTTTTTTATGAGAGGTTTTTCACTACAGGCCGCTTGTGATCCCCTGATAGAGAGAGACAGAGACAGAAAGCGAGAAATCACCCCCCAGGGGGGATGGTCACGCTGC